CACCTTAGTCTTGTCCAGTTGATAATTCTTTATATAACACCATCGAAAGTCTGCATTAACTCTTTATTCAGGTCTTGCCAAATGAGATTCTGTGTGTTCAGCTCTTAGATTTATATAAACATTTTACTCAGATTTCATGTAGCTTATATATTACATTATAGTTTCATGTTCTTCCAGTACAAGCTGATATGATCAAAGCTACAGATCTGATGATCCACCAGATTATACACAGTCTGTTGTAACATATTCTATAAAATTTGAATTTCATCACTAGTAGGATTCAAACTTTTGTCCTGCTGCTTGGGGTGTGACAACTTACCAACTTTACTAAGTCACCATACCCTTTATATTTAATTTTTTCTACTCTATACTGTTTTAATTTTTATAAAATGTTTCTATTCATGCTTCTGCTTGTTTTACTATAATCTTTTTCTAGAATTTTCTGTTGTTTTTTGCTATATATAACTATTTTGTTATATTTGTACTATATATCCTCTTTATTTTTATTTGTCATATATTATTAATGCATTTTCTTTGTTTACTCTTCATTTTATATTGTGTATTTTGTATAACAAACATTAATCTATATTATAAAGTTAAGGCCAATTTCCCAAATGATTTGCTAAGAGCAAAAAATATCGATAATTTTTAATATTTGGGATCTTTGTTTTGAAAATTACCTTTTGACATTTCTGATCAGGTTAATTCAGACAAAAATAAACCTAAATACTGATTTATATTCATATATTAATTATCTTTACTTTTATTGATTTAATAGTTATTTGATAAACTATTGAATCAAAAAGTTAAAGGATAATTAACATATAAATATAAATCAGTACTTGGGTTTATTTTGTTTAAATTAACCTGATTGGAAATGTTGAAAAGTAATTTTTAAAGAAAAACTCCATTTTCTTCTATATTTTAGATATTCTATAGAATAAGTAGGCAATATAAGAAATAAGCTTCATTAATAATTAGTAATTATTAATTTTTTAATAGCAGAGTTGCGGAATTTGCCTATCTATTCTATAGAATATTCTATATTTCTGCTGCTTCTATTCTTTTTACTCTAATTTCTTAAGAAACTGGGTGTTATTTTCGGTCTTCTTTCTTTTTTCTTAGAGCTGCAAGTCTTGTTTTCTACTAGTATTTATGTGTTTTTGTTAATATTTTGTTTTTGCAATTTTGTATATGAAGAATTGCATTTTGCAACATAAATCTTCAACAAAATTACTATAAAGTTTATTTCAAATTAATCATAGTACTTGTGCATGATCTCTATAGTTAGCTAATTACAAGAAATGATACTATAATCGAAATATTCGATTAAAGGTGTTTTATATTAAGTATTTAATAGAATCGTTTTGGACTTTATTAAGATAAGTATTTGAGATGTCCAAATCTTCCTCTACAAAGCCTTTTTCAAGTGTTTTTTATACAAATCATTTTTATTAATGTTTTATCTATTTTTAAATATTATTTATTAGACTACTTTATCTTTAGGTTTTAGCGCTAATACTATTGTTACGATTCTTATATGTAACAATTTATACATAATGATCATATATATAATGATGTTATATATAATATGATTTATATATATAAACTTACAATAAATAAATAAACAAATAACTAAATTAATATATAATATAATAAAATAAATAATTAATAATAATAAAAAATAAGTATAAATCTAAAACAAAAGGTTCACTGGGACAATGTGATCATCATTGTAGTCATGTGATAGTTGTAGTACATCATAGTTATGTGATCGTAGTTATTTCTAGATATGTAATAAATGATTATGTTATAATACTAAGTTAACATAAATATAGTTCTGTTAATTTCATCAAAAATCATTCATTAACAACTTAGTTTACAAACAATTAATTTAAAGACAAGCTTACAATTAATTCACAGACAAGTTTATTTTACAAACAGTTCATTTTACTAACAAAGTAGTTCTGATCATTGTTATTAAGATCAGAGTTGAGTTCAGTGCAATTTGTAAAAACACTTGTCAGTGAAATGAGCTGTTGTAAAATAAACTGTTAGTGAAATAAACTTGTAAATTAATTGTCAGTAAACCAAGTTGTTGATAAAAAGATTTTTAATGAAATAATATAAATAAGTTCTAGTTACAATATTCTTGTGGATAAATAAATAAGTAAATGAATTATATATAGTGCAAGACATCTATACTTAACAATTACACAAAGTGTTATAAATTTTTAAATGATTATAACTTTTTATTTAAGAGGTTTTTAAAAAATCTGACCAGTAACTTTATAGAGCTATATCAGCTCTACATATTGTATATGCCAAATATCTTTTCTTTTTTTTTTTGTAATCAAGATTAACCTCTTTGGCTTACTACTTTTATTAAATACTAGGATTATGTAGTGCCCTTTTTTAAGAAGCTCCAGACAAGTATATTTTGACAAGAATACATTCTAGCCATATCTATACCTTTTAAGCGTCTAATTAAGTATCTATCTATTACTAGGTTTTACACTAAATGTTGTACCTGTAACCCACTATTACTTGAGCTACTCAATTAAACCCTCTGATCTGAGTTTCTTATACCAATTCATCTAACCTCACCTGGAATATGCAATATATTAGTTAGTCTAAGTTCTGAAATCATTGCAAGTTTACTTCTAGAACTACCGGTATTTAACTGATTTATCCTTGAGTGCATCATCTGCTAGAGCCATTTATCACCCACTTTTAATGTATGACCTAGTTTTTTTCAGATAGATATTACCAGATAGGTTCTATACCTTTATAGGTAAATCATATTACCAATCTCTACCACAAATAGGTAGTTGGATAGGTTCTAAATCTTTACAGACAGACCACACTGCCTAACTACCTGGCCCTTACAAAGTTCATTCAAGCCCCGATACCCTTCCTTCAAGACAACCCAGTATCTTTCCTTTCAGTACTTCCTAGCTAGTCTCCCCAGACTACTAATCAAGATAGCCCGATAAGGATATTAGTTTTTTTCTCGATCAACCTGGTGGCCTGGTTGGTGAAGTAACTTGCCGATACTCTTGCCTCATCCAGTTTTCCAGCCTCAAGTAGAGCCTGTTCTAGTAAGCACTGTTGAAAGCTTGTATTATCTTTCTATTCAGGTCTTGCCAAGCAGGCTTCCCATAGTACCATTTATCAGATTAATACATTCTGAGGACTTATTATGAATTTATGCTACCTTACCGGTTTTGTATTTTCTTTGTACAACTCATACATTACACAAATGCCCAGATCTTCCTTAGATCAACCTGATAGTGCAATGGATATTCTCTTTATATAAGGTATGGCCGATATTACAGGACTTCTTCTCAATATCTAAGTAAGTTGTTGTTATATAAAAGAATTTAATTTTTTGCCGTCAGTGGGAATTGAACTCTAGATGTGCCACTTGGGAGTGATAACCCAACTACTTCACTAAATCGCCACACCCCTACCAAATATCTTTTCAAAATTTCATCACTATAAAAAGTTTTAGCGATTTGAAAATTGAAATTTTATTTATAAATTTATAAATTTATATATAAAATTACAATTTTAAATTATAAAACTTTTTCAAATTGATTTTAACACAACTCTCTCTAACAATCACTCATACCAAACTTATGGCTAACGAAAACAGAAACTTGTTGGAGAAAAGTAGAAAAAACAACTATACAATAATGATTTTTACAGAGATTAAGACTTTTACATTTTACCTCAGACTCCTCTGTATATTCAGTATGCAAGTTAAAAGATTCTTGTACAAGATAACTGACAAGAAGGTGGTACCCTTGTACAAAAAATTTTAATAGAAGCATTGCTTCTGTCAACAAAGTTAGATAATAGTTGGTCTAAAAGAAAACAACAAGCAAGTTTTTAACACACTCTTTATTGAAGTTAAAGGATATCTGCAAACTGAAACCCTTCACCAAACTTCACTTTTTGCACTTTACGAAATTTTCACCAAAAAGTGAGAAAAATGTCATACCTCTAACAAAAGATTGATTTAATAACAACTGCTAAAAAAGGAAAAACATGTATATATATACATGTCTACTTTGAGATAAATAGTGTCAGATAATGTGATAATATTTAAAACACTATAAAAGATATGCTAATCTAATTGGAATAGCAACTGAAAGTTTCGACCTTGAAGCTCTACTTCAAGACCAGATAGTTTTTAATATTTTTACATTCTGGATATAGACATAAATAACTAGCATAGAGTTTAGTCTAGCTTATTTGTAGTACTATATAATTTTTATAATTTAGCACAGGTTTAATAATACTATCTTTACTTTTTTTTGTTTTCTTTTTTTTTTCATTATTTGTTTTGTTTGGTTTTATTTGTTTAGGTAGACCAAAATTTGACATTGAGATATTTTTCCATTTTTCTTTTGCCCTTTGTATTTGTGTCTGTGCTTTGTTTTATAATAAGAAAAGTCAATTCTAAATGGTGTGTGACATCAAAGGATAATTCCTAGTAAGTTAGGGGCCTAGAGAAAGGCTTGAAGTCCACTGAGGCTGGTTATATTTGGTGAAAGTGTGGGTAAACTGTTTTGTGGAGAGATTAGTATAGCTATTATTAGAAAATGTAAATTTTCTAGTTTAGTTTAATCTCAAATAAAAAGTGACAGAACAACCAAATTATAAAAAAAAAATCATAAAACTTTTTACAGTGATGAGATTTTGAAAAGATATTTGATATATATGTAGAGCTGATGTAGCTCTATAAAGTTACTGGTCAGATTTTTTAAAAATCTCTAGATAAAAAGTTATAGCCATTTAAAAATTTGAAACATTTTATATAACTATTAAATATAGATGTCTTGCACTATAGAAGAATATTCATTTTTTTTTTTTTGACACAAGGAGACTCTAAGAAGAGTAATTGGCTATTAGAAAATAGTATAGTTAACCTCTATAATAAACCTTCTAATAATGAGCTCTGGCTGCAATTTTTTAAATCATTCGGGTATAAACTATTGTTCAAAATATAATTTGGGTTGATCTTTAGTATAGGTGGGCACCTATAAAAAATCATAATAAAAATTCCTATACGGATCTCCTTTAGTAAAAGTGGGCAAACTCCGATTAGTTACACATGATTGCATGATACGTACAATAGGTTAATTAAAATTAAATAAGCAATTTGAGTTAAATATTAACTACGTTTAACTCATGAAGATCGGCAATTTGAGTTAACGTTTAAACTCGTGTAGATCGGCAATTACAGATTAGATTAGACGTTTATTTTTTTTTTTTAGAGCTAGAAAGCTTCGATTTCGGGTAAGTATATTTGTGTTGTTTTCTCTTTCTTGTAAAATTCGTTCACTAACGCACTTTTTTTTTTCCGGTGCTTCTCTCTTGGGATGATTTGGAATTGGATTTTCGGCTCTGGGTGGGTATATTTACTTCGATTGTTGGATATCTTGCTTGTAAAATTCGTTTACTAACGCCATTTTTTTTTTTTCCGGTGTTTCTCTCTTGGGATGATTTGGAATTAGATTTTCGGCTCTGGGTGGGTATATCTACTTCGATTATTGGATTTCTTGCTTGTAAAATTCGTTTACTAACGCCCATTTTTTTTTTCCGGTGTTTCTCTCTTGGGATGATTTGGAATTGGACTTTCGGCTCTGGGTGGGTATATCTACTTCGATTATTGGATTTCTTGCTTGTAAAATTCGTTTACTAACGCCATTTTTTTTTTTCCGGTGTTTCTCTCTTGGGATGATTTGGAATTG